GATCTTATGCGCCGTCGCCCTGCTTCTCCTGAATCTTGTTAACGCTCGTAGTCTACTGGCCCATAGGTTCAGAAGGTGGGTGTCTGGTGTCGGATCACCTTGTTTTACATTAACGTGGGTTCTTGCCTCCTTCATCGCCTTGCAGATGCTTTCCTCGATGTCTTCGTGCCGCTCCAAGCTGCTTAGAATGAGCTCCCGGAATCCGTCCCCTTTTATGATCGGTCGAAGCTCCTTACCTTTCCGCCCACTTGGGTGTGTGACTGTGACCTCGATGGGGTATAGTGGTCGCTGCCCTGTGTGTCCCTCCTTGGTGTCCATTGGGTGTCGAGGCGCTTTGTGGCCCATGTGAGATCTGGTGTAGTGTCCTTCTGGCGTTGTAGTTTGGCTAGTCGTGTCTTGACCCCTTGTTCATTGCGGAGTTCAAGCCCGGCTGTTTGCATGGCTGCGATGATGTCTCGGCCTTTCTTTGTGTTGGTGTTGTATCCCCATTCGCGGTGTTGTGCATTAAAGTCCCCTCCGACAATCAGTGGGTCTCCATCGGCCAGCTCGGATAGCTTTCGAATCCATTCTGGCGTCTCTCCATTTTTTAGGGTGGTATTGGGCTTTAAGTAGACAGATGCCACCACCAGTTTGAGTTTACCTCGCTTTAGTCGGACAGCAACTACCTCCCTCTTGTCCGAGCAGGGTGCAGTGGTGTCTAGCTGCGTCTGTGGTATGTTTTGGAGTACGCAAACTGTCACCCATCCTTTCTTTTCAATGGGATTCTTCTCCCTGGAGCTCGGCTTAGATTTGATGGTCGGAGTTAGGTAAACGTTGAAGCCGGTGATTGCCATGTCCGGTGTTTTAGTCTCCTGCAGCAGCAGAATTTCTGGTGGCACATTTCTTTCGAAGCGGAGCTTGAGCTCCGCTGCTCTTGCCGAGAACGTGTTGCAATTCCACTGTAGGATCCGTGTCGGTGCCATCTTAGTCTGTCCGGGTTCGTTAGTTCTATCTGCTATGCTTGAGTTCAGCAATTTCCTTTTTAATCTCTCCGAGTACTTGGAATACCATATTAAATCCCCTTTCCACGTCTTTCTCGAATTTGGCGATTTTGGATTCTTGCTTCTCGAACCTTGCTTCGAGTGCTTGTACTTCCTTCCTCCAGTCTGGTAGTTCGGGGGACTTAGCCTTCGTGCGCTGGGCCCATTCTGGGATCCAGTTTGGGGCTGCCATTTTCTCATTGGAGTCAACTGTTTGCTTTCCTGGGTTGGGAGGAATTCGAATGACCTCCTGCTCTGTGTTTTGTTGGCCGCGAAGTTGGGCCTGTGAGGTGGCAGTTGCTTTGGCTGCTGCCGCGTAACTTTCTCTCAGTAGCTTCGGCTATGGTGGCTTTGCGGGCTGCTTCTTTTCTGAGATCTTCCTCTTGGGACAATTGTTGCTGGTTGCCACGTGGGCCCCACCGCAGTTCTTACACTGTGGATCCCTTGTGCACTCCTCCATCTCTTCTTCGTGGATGTGCCCGCATTGGTCGCATCTGCTCTCTTTGCTTGGGCATACGTCCGTTTTGTGCCCAATGTTGTGACAATTGAAGCAGACTGTTGGTCTTGGACGGTACGGTTTCACGGTGAACACTTCGCGGCAGAACATGACTTTCGCTGGCAGCCAAGTTCCCTCAAAAGTGATCACCACAGCGTTGCCTTTCTTGCCCATAAGGCGGGCGTAGACTACTTAGGGCGTTCTGCATTCCAAATCCGGTAGTAGCGTTTCGGGTGTCTCGTCGCTGTTATCACCGTGCAAGTAGATGACACCGCGTACTTGGTCGTTCCCCATTGCCTTGTATGGACTTAAGGCGTACGAGTCTTCGCCTTTCGTGATCTCAGTGACTTTTAGGAGATTTCGGATTATCTCTTCGTTCCGCGTTTTCAGCGCAATGGTGTTCGTCTTCGGCTGAATTTGAATTTTGTAGTCATCACGACTGGCGATTCCCGTCTTTTCCACCGCTGTTTTTATATCTCGGGTCTTGAAGTCCTTGACATTCTTTTTGCACATCGCTTTTAGTACCACTGTCTGGGTTGACGGTGGAGTTTCCCGTCTATCTTCCTCAGATGATGTTCTCGGTTTTTGGACTGTCGAACACCGGCGTTTTCGTCGGCGTTTACTTATATACATTTCAAACCCTTCGTCTTCGGGGTTCTCCTCCACGGGGGCTGTTCCTAAGCTGTTAGGCTTAGCTTGTCGTTCTTCTGAAGCTGGATTTTCTGGTTTATGTAATTTCTGTAGTGGTGGAAATTGGGAAGTATCTTGAGAACTCACCTCTTCGGATTCCATGGCGTCCCTTTGCTGGCGTGCCATCCAGCCTGGGCTCAACGTCCCTTGTATGTAGCTGTGCAAGAGTGTGGTTATTAATTTGCCGATATCCTCTTTGGTGATTCCCAATTTTCCGAGGAGTCCAGCGTCAAGCTCGATGGCTGTGGTCCTGGCGGGTTCAAGCTGCTGCTGCGCGTTTACTTCGGCTTGTTGACCGCGCGTTCCCGAAGTCAGGGCTGCTGCGGTGTCCATCTTTTCTGGCTCCAAACTCGTCGAAATGACCCCGTCGGTTGCAAAATCAGCGGGCGGAGCGTCGTCGAAGGTCCTTGGTGATTCACGACACCTTCATAAACGTGGCGCTGTTTTGGGGGTGTCGGGACCCCCTAACGATGCCACGGAGCGTCCAGGTTTGATCTTCAAGGTAGTTGGAAGTCCAAAAGCTATAGAAAGCGCCAAACATAGAAAATTATCAGGAGCCGAAAATTCCGTGTTCCTTTGCCAGGGCACTTCGTCGTCGTCCCCAACATCAGTCGAAAACATTTCTCCCGCGAGACGATAACGATGTCACTTTTCTACATGCCTGCAGTCTTGAGCGTCCTCTTGTAATTTTTGTTTAGGGCCACGTGAAACGAAACTAGCAAAAAATACAAAATGACACAAGTGTTTTACAGCACAGAAGAGAGGAAGTGGCGAGACATATTTAGCGAACCTGGGATAGTTAAAGCCTCTATCCTGGAAGAAGTGGCACCATTCATTGTTGTGGAATTGCTTGAGACACGTGCCACGCGCAACTTCTGGGAAGAACATGGCGTCTGAAATCTAGCTCAGTGCTGCGCTGTGCCGCTATGATCTTCCCACGGGCTGCAACTTGCGCGTACCTCGTGCATCGACGCACCTTCGCTACTTTTGAAACATGAAGGGGCTTTAGAGATTTCCACTGACCGTAATTGTCAGTGGAAATCTCCGAAGCTCCGAATCTTCTACGCACATGTGTTTCAACATCTGGGAAAGACCTTGTCCTTTTCTTCTTTTTGTTTCTCAACTGTGTGACCGCGCTATAGTCGTAATTAAAAATTCACACAAATATCCGCGACTACTAAATAATTGAAAAGACAATGAGTGTGCAGGCGAGCCGGTGATAGCTAATCATGTCGTATAACAGCTGAAACTGTGGTGGAGGAAATAAGAAACTTTTTAGTAGAAGGAACAGACACAGACAGGAACGTCTCAAACTCAGCTAACTGGTTTATTTCTCGATCATCCTATATATAAACACGAAGCCCTTCCAAACACACTCTACGCAGAAATCTGCTTTGTTCAAACAGTTCCAAATCGAGAGAACATACATGACACACAAAGAGATCAAAGACACGCACAAACAAAAGAGGCTCTTATCTGTAGCATACCTCGAGACATTGCAGTGACCTCGATAAAAATATCGACGACAGCACGCATAAAACGAGGATACTGCAGGGCATCGCAGTGACCTTGAAAGAAAAGTGCCGAACTATCCTAAACATTAGCACAAAAACCACATGTAACCTTAGAAAAAAAAAATAGAAGAATTACTGTGAGGAAACATACCTTGGTGACCTCTGTACCGCGCCGACGGACCCTAACCGAATATTGTCCCCCTATTCCCTTTTTCTTTTTTTCATTTCCCTTCCCTTTTCTCGCAAATCGATGTGTTCGTTTTGGGTGGTGCACGAAATAGCCTAATTTCAAAACACCTGTTTCAAAATTCCCGCTGCAAATATCCCGTCTTATATCCCCCGTCTTCAAAATCCTCGGCATTAAGAACCCCCTTTCCTTCATCCTCTTATCAGTTCCCCCGGCTTCCGCCCCCTCCCCCCCCCCCCCCCGCCGCCCCCCAGTCTGGTTACAGGACGAAGCAAAAATCCGGAAAACTACCAACGTGGCTAGTTCGCCCTAAAAAGCAAGAAGTTAAAAAAAATGACAGAATATTTGAACACTAAAAAAGTGCAACATAGAATTGGTCTATACAAAAGAACCTCGACAACCTTTGAGGACTTCTGCAAGGGATGATATCATTGCTATCTAGGATGCTGAGGTCGTAGTAGAGTCGAGATCAAGATGCTGAGGTCGTAGTAGAGTCGAGATCAAGATGCTGAAGATGGAGCTCAAATTTCTAAAAACTCAAAAAGGGAACAACGCCGTAATAGTAGACGGATTCACCTATTTATTTCAGCAAAAAAATAAAGGTGAGAAGACTGCCTGGAGATGTGCCGAATACTGGGAATTGAACTGCAAAGCAGCGCTTCTCACGAAACACGAAAAAGTGATCAAGAAATCCCAAGGTAAGCGATTTTTTAATGGACTGTCTGATAGCTGTTTAGTTATCCTGAAAGGGGACTGAATTAATTGCGCTCATTTAGCACAAATTAAACATTTCTGCTACAGTAATTGATTTTCATCACGTTCATATGTTTTAGAGCATAACCATCCTCCTAATGGCAGCCAACTTCGGGAAGCGCGACTCAAGAATAAAATGAAGGAAATGGTGAGATCTGAGCCGCATTTGCCAGCACCCCAAGTGTACAGCAAGGAGATCTTGAGCTTTGTGGGTCAAGCTACTAAGAACAGTTTTTGTCTTCATATTATATGTTTCATTACACGAGTATACCTTTGCATTATGTCCATGATTGAAACTTCTTTGTGACGGGACGAATTTGTTCTATGTTAATGACACGGTAATGGCGGAGCTGCCGACTTTCGAGAGCGTCAGGAGCACCATGTACCGGGAGAAGAAAAAGCAGCAACCAAGCCTACCAAAAAACATGGCCGAGATTAACCTTGGAAGACTGTATACGGAGACACTCGACAAGCGAGACTTCCTGCTGTTCGACGTCTACATAAGTGCAGGCCGTATTCTTTGCTTTTTTGCGCAGGAGCTGCATTTTCATTTTGCGGAGGTGGTTGAGGTGTTCATCGATGTCACGTTTTTATGGTGTCCGTCCTTGTTTTATCAACTGGTCACAATCAGCTCCGTCAAAGAGGGGGTGAGCTTCAACATAGCCTACTTCCTTCTCCCTGGGAAGTCCCGAGAAGTATACATGGCGGCCTTCCCGAACTTCAAGGCAGCTTTCCACGCTCTTCGCGCACTTCTCTCAATCAACGTTGTCCGTACGGACTTTGAACTGGCCCTTATCAAGGCTTTTTAGAGCGCAGCTCTTAGGGGCCCGTTCCCGGCTTGAGCGGCGTCGCCGTCGGCGTCGGCGTCGCCGTCGCCGTCGGCGTCGGTGTCGCCGTCGCCGTCGCCGTCGGCGTCGGCGTAACCGCAACCCTCGTAACCCTCGTGAGGGTTACGAGGGTTACGAGGGTTAATCTCATGAGGGTTACCCTCACGAGGATCACGAGGGCCACGAGGGTTACTTACCCTCGTAACCCTCACGAGGGTTACGAGGGTTAGTTACCCTCAAAAGGGTTACCTTCACGAGGGTTACCCTCACGAGGGTTACTTACCCTTGTAACCCTCATGAGGGTTACGCGTGAGGGTAACCCTCGTGAAGGTAACCCTTTTGAGGGTTACGAGGGTTAGTAACCCTCGTGAGGGTAACCTTCACGAGGGTTACCCTCACGAGGGTCACGAGGGTTATGAGAGTTACCCTCACGAGGGTTACTCACCCTCGTAACCCTCACGAGGGTTACGAGGGTTAGTTACCCTCACGAGGGTCACGAGGGTTATGAGAGTTACCCTTACGAGGGTCACGAGAGTTCAGACCTCAGAGGGGTCACGAAAGTCATGTGACCCCTCTGAGGTCACGTGACCCCCGAGGTCACGTGGTCTCCTCCCCAAGGTCACGTGACCCCCAAGGTCACGTGACCCCTCCCAAGGTCATCTCAAGGTCACGTGACCCCAAGGTGACCCCCACGTGACCCCCAGGTCGCGTGACCCCTCTGAGGTCACGTGACCCCTCTGAGGTCACGTGACCCCCCGAGGTCACGTGACCCCCCTCCCCGAAGTCACGTGACACCCCCCCCCCCCCCCCCCCCGAGGTCACGTGACCGCCCCCCGGAGCATATTAAAGAATGAGGGGAGGAGGAGGGATCTACCCTCCCCTCAGTACCCTTCACTCCTCCTCCTCAAGAGCTGCGCTCCAATTCGGCGTTACAGGGATTTGTAAACGGCTTTCACTTTTTTTATCGTGTTTCCTGGCATTTGGCACCGGGGTTGCAATTTCCACTTTTCTCAGGCAATCTGGAGAAAGGTTCAGGACCTCGGACTTTCCAAGGCGTACCAAGACGATTCTTCTGTAACGTTGTTTGTACGCCAGACAATGAGTTTGGCCTTTATTCCGCCAACTTCTGTACGTATTGCTTGGCGGAGTTTAAAGGCAACGGCACCACGAGCCCCAGGGGCCTCACAACTGATCCTGTACTTCGAGGATACCTGGCTTTTGGGGAACTGTGACATCCACCAGTGGAACCACTACCAAAACAACGGAGCCCGGACTGATAACTTTAAGGAAGCCTGGCACCGGTGAGTACATTTTGCAATATTATAAAATACAGTTATCCTAGTATCTGATTTCTTATCAACCGGAAGGTGCGACCTTTGTGCTTTTTATTTGCAGGAAAATTAAGAATGTCATTGGAAACGCGCACCCGAATGTCTACACGTTCGTGGAGCATATCAAGCAAGACGAGGCCACTAGCAGAGTCACCCTCTTCCAAGTGTCCAACGGCGGCCAAGCCAGAAAGCGTCAAAAGAAGTGGGAGAAGAAAGACGATCGAGGCCATAAAGAAGCTCAAGGATAGTCTGTCCAATGGAGAGCTGAGCATTCAAGAATTCCCGAAGCTGGTGCAGCGATATTGCGGTATATAAGTAGTGGACGTTGCTCCCATGAAAGTCTATGCAAAAAAAGTGTAAATAAATCTCCTGTGATTTGCAATATTGTAGAGATATGAATTACTGGCACAGAATCACAGAAAACACAGTGCGCATTGATTTGGAAATAAGATCAGAGGTGTACGACTGCATTGACATCTGTCACGTACGAGTGCATTAATAAGTGCCACAAACTAATGCGTAGAAGATGAAAATAAAGGTTATAAAATAACACTCCTACTTTTTTTAATAATTCATAAAAAATTTCAAGTTTAAATGATCACGGATCGAATATTCCGTGCTTCGAAAAGTCTGTGAGCTTACACTGAGAAAGCATACCGATCCGTGCACCGCAAGACACGTAACCGAATCGTCCGCAGGCGCATAGCGGGGAAATTGGGCACGTGGATAGTGACACTTGGGGCAGACGAGACGGGAATTGTGAAAACGGGGATTTTGGGACTCGGGCGAACTGGCACGGGGAATTCGGACGGAGGAAATGAACTCGGGGGATTCGTGATACAACCGTTAATTTATAGTCTCACAAACTTTTTGGGAGTTGCTTCCAAGTTGCATTGATCCTTGGCTTATGCAGTTTTCCATTGATTTTATTCTTATAATTTCTCTAACGAATCTCTTGATATCGTCCCGCTCTTTATGTAGAATTTCATTTTCTGACTAGTGCGCAGTACAATTGTTGCATTCCTCGATGTGTTTTGCAATTTCCGAGTTCGGCGCTTTTGTGTTTGCATTTCTACTCGGACCTCTCTCGAGGTCGGAGTACTTCGGGAAAGACGTAGTGTTCTCAGATTTCAAAATGAGCAGGTTGACGGAATTTTTGTCCAACCACAAATGCTGTCAGAAGGCCCATCGGGAACCTTCGGTTCCGTGCAAAGAAAGTGTAGAATTGGAAATTCCGTTAACATACGGGTTCAAGTACGTGCGACAAACCTCGAGATGCCTCAACGTCAGGTTATTAGAACACAAAAGAAATGTAAACACAAAAGCGCCAAACTCGGAAATGGCAATGCACATCGAAGAATGCAACATGTGTACTGCCACGCGCGCCGGCAAGCGAGCACGTGCGTGGCCGAGTGGTTACCGCACTTGACTCTCGTGGGGTAGCTCAGGGTTCGATTCCTGGGAGCGCCGCATCTTTCATTTAGTCTCTCAATTTAGATTTCTGGTAATTTCGAGATCCGTGTTACTTGTTTTAGGTTAGAATGATCTACCCGACGAATCTTCTGGGCCGATTGTTTTAGAAGTCCCCGCGTAGCGAGCCGAGGACAGTCTCGCTCCAGCGCTCGATCCTGATCCTTCATCGACATCGACGCCTGCGAATCTAACTTACTTTTATTTTGCTTTGGGAAAGAGTTCGCCTCATCAAACGTTTATTTTCTTCAGTTATTCTTCGCCTTATCATTTGTCATTCGTGACAGTACTGCGCACTGGTCACAAAGAGAAATTCTACATAAAGAGCGAGGAGATATCAAGAGGGTCGTTGAAGAAACGATAAGAATAAAATCAATAGGAAACTGCATAAGCCAAGCATCAATGCTACTTGGAAGCAACTTCAAAAAGTTTCTGAGACTAAACGAACGCATCGATTCGCGGGACGAGGGCGATTCGTCACATGCGCACTCGTCACAGGACGATTGGTCACAGGACGATTCGTCGCATAGGAACATTCGTCACAGGATGACTCGTCATGCGGGTAACTGGTCACATCGATCGGGCAGGGGGCGGTAGTAAATCGAAAATTTCAACAAATGCTCACATTCCCTGATGAGGAGTTTCACGACATCCCATTGTGACATAAACCAATGGTTAGGAACACTAATCTTACAATATTCCTCCGCTTTTCCTTTCATTATATTACGAGTCTTCAGCAGGTTGATCTCAGTTGCTGGCTTGAACGAGCAATAATCCGACCGGCAGCCAAATCAGTTTTCACTTTTGCCTTGCATACCTATTCGACAAAATCAATAAGTATCAGAATTCTTACTGCCGCATGTGTACGAGTACCCCGCATGCAGCTGCATGGCTCTACCTCTCTCTGTTGCGATCACCTCCATTATTTTGAATGTAGTCCGAGTTCAAAAATAGTCGCTCTTATATGGCCTCCGCATTCACAGTTCGGGACGGACCCAGAAGCTAAAACGTCTGTTACAAATTCTTTGACCTCGAGAAGCGAAAGACATGCTAAGAGGTGACCCACTTTGTGAGGCCGAACCAACATTTAATGTTCGGGACCAAACCAGAAGCTAAAACGTTTGTTACAAATTCTTCGCCTTTCAGAAGCCAAACACATACTAAGATATGAGGTGAGCCATTTTGTCCGCCCGAACCAGATTGAACAATACATTTTTTGGGGGGAAGAACTATTGTGGGACCGGTTGGCCGCGTAACGAGTCATCCTATGAGGAATGTTCCTGTGTGACGAATCGTCCTGTTACCAATCGTCCTGCGACGAGTGTGCATGTGACGAATGGACCGTATCCCTCGATTCGCGAGAAAAGGGAAGGGAAAGGAAAAAAGAAAAAAGGGAGTTTAGGGACACAATATGCAGTTAGGGTCCGTCGGCGCGGTTAAGAGGTCACCAAGATGTCTTTCCCCAAAATAGTTCTTCTCTCGTGTTTTTTTTTTTTTGTTTCTTTTTTTTGAAGGGTACGTTTGGTTTTGGTGCTATTGCTTAGGATAGTTCGCCACTTTTCTTTCGAGGTGTCTGCGATGCCCTGCAGTTTTCTTGTTTAATATGATATCGTTAGCAATTTTATCAAGGTCACTGCCATGTCCCGAGGTGTCCTACAGATAAGGGCCTCTTTTGTCTGGCGTATGTTTGATCTCTTTGTGTGCCACATATGTTCTCTCCATTTGGAATTGTTTTCAACAAAGGAGATTTCTGCGTAGAGTGTGGTAGGGAAAAGGGCTTCGTGGGCATATATAGGATGATCGAGAAATAAACCAGTTAGCTGAGTTTGAGACGTTCCTGTCTGTGTCCGTTCCTTCTATTAAAAAGTTTCCAATTTCTGGAACCATAGTCTCAGGTTTTATACGACATGAATACAAAATAATGGGACTTCTGGTATTTGTTTGTATAAATTTAGCAATATTTGCGGTAAAGTTCCGTTGATAATGGCTATTCCCCTCTCTTTGTGAAAATTAATGATTTTTTGTTGTTCGAGAACAATCTGACGAAAACCTCGAAACATCGAAAAATTTTCGAAACTTTTATTGCTGATTCACAAAAAAGGTATACACTACAAATAGGTCCCTTAGCACGGTTCACTGCATCATAGAAGTAACGACGGCAAGCGTGCATGAAGAAACGCA